GTCTAATTATGATGAGGATCTCATATTTAAATGTATATAATCTTGCTTTTCTTTCTGATCCTACATCTTTTCTGACCTATCCAATTAAATTATCAAGAATAACAGACTATATTCCTACAAGGCCAAATACTTTCTCCAAATCTCCAAAATAAACAGAGAAACTAGACATGTATTATAATAAGCGTCAGGCATAAAACAAACAAAAATGAATATGAAAACTTTTTGCTGTCATTTAGTTGCTTGTCATATGCCATTTAATCTGGCTCCCCTCCCCCAATTTCCTTTCTGACTGTGGGAGGGATTTTCAACTTTTTTCACCTCATGGCACACGTAAACTAATGAATGAAATTCTGCCGCACTCCAAAAATATATATGTTTTGCTGATCTGACCAAAAAAAATAGGTATTATTTTGATTGATTTATAAACAATAAGTAATTACCTACCCTTTCTGCTCCAGAGTGACTTTTTAAAAATTAAGGTGCCTATACTTGTATATAAGGATTTTTAGTACCATGAGTTAGCCAATCAGAAGCACCCTATTGTGCTGTGACCGGGAAGATGCATCCCTATTATATGAGCTATGTACTTACGGTTCAAGACAGGGCATTCACACCAGATCACTATTGTGTTGGCTGTTATTATTATTTTTTTTAATGTATTTGACAGTCTGAGGGAAAAGAGATCAGTGCCCCTGACTAAATAGTCAGGTATTACATGTTTTAAGAATTCTTGCAGCACACCGGTTGAAAATCACAGGACCATAGCCTAGCCCCTTAGGGCTAGCAGCCTCTTCGCTACCTTCAGTCTTGCTTTTAAACGGTATCCCCACCCTCCCTGCCTGGGCCGAGTGACTGATTTGGGACCTGTTCGGACAGTGGTAGCAGTTGGCTGATACGGTCATGTGCGTGACGGTCGGGGGTGTAAATATCCTTGCTCTCTGTACCCCTGCCCCGCAGAGCTCCCCGTGAGTCTTTCAGCAGTGTCAGTTGGCGGCTTCTCTGTGTCTGCTACAGTGGTGTTTCCCAGAACCCCCCAAAGCTGTTAGCTCATCTCTTCATCGCTGGTTGAAAGGGAATCCAAGGGGCCAGTTGGTGGCCACCTGGAGTCAAGCAAACTGTTAACTTTATTCCCTCCGATAGTGATTCCTACATACGAATGCACTGCAACTTCCTAACAGAGCATCTCTGTAGTTTTCTCTTAGTTGTGCAGTTTGGTTGTTAGCTCTACTTATTTGTGAAAATATGTAGAAAAATTGATGGTTACTTTAAAATGAGACAGTCTAGAAATGATATGGATCCCTGAGAGAGGAGATCTGACTTGACAAGGGAAGGTAGTCATTTACTTAACCTCTGTTCTCCTGCCCTGATTTTTGTGAAGGAAACAGAAAAACTAGCAAACGAATTGAAAAAAAACCCTTCAAATCAGATTGACCTTTTTCAAATCGGAATTCCTAACTTCTGTTTACGCCTTAGAGATATGTAAAGGATTGTCAGAGTGAGGCAGAGGCCCTGAAAATGGAGCCTGGGTAAAACGGCAGGCGCCAGTTACGTCTCGCTCAGCCCGCCCAGCTCCATCTGCTGTGTCTGGCCCTGATTCTCCAGGTTGACTTAGCATTCGCCATCTTTCTCCTGCTAAACGCCTCGTGCATTCCGTATTATCTACGTTTAACTCTCAGAGTAACCCTGTGAGCTATGTACCCCCGAGACTCACCTGACTAATAAATAGGAGAGCCAACCCCAGGTCTCTGCATCTGTCCTACTGTTTTAGTGTCTCCTCAGGGTTCCAGGTGGCATCAGTAGTGAAGTTACACCCCACTCCAGGAAAGAGGAATTGGGGTCACTGGACTGATTGATAGTGGAAATAGTGGGGGATTTTCTTTCACATATTCTCGGGACCTGGGTTTTTACCAGCGTAGGGCCGGAGTCCACTTTGTTGCCCGATGGGGAAACAGAGGGGAGACGTGTTAGAGAACTCATAGGAGGCGATGGGCCTGGCTGTGCCACTGATACTATAATACTGAGAAATTATTTAACCTTTTTGAGTCCGAGATTCTTTTAACATGGGAGGAGGTTACATGCTATAATGTATGCAGAAGAGCTTTTAAATTATATAGCACCATACACAAATGGAAAATGTCTCCCAATGTGCTAAGCAAGAGGCTCAGCCCTCCACACAGGGACATTTTTACTGTCTCTTCATGTATTTCAAATGCCTTTCATTTTAAAAGGTAAAGCTGTAGGTAGATGCCCTGAATGACAGGCAGCACAATTATTTTAAAGTTACTACAGTCCCACAACGTTGTGGAGCCAGACGCATCATAGCCGTGCTCTGCACTGACTAATGCACGAAGTATTTTCAGTAAAAGAAGCCAGCTCTGTGGATTCCACCGTTTCACGTGTATTATCTCTCCTCTTCCATGAGTAATAGAAATGAGATTGTTTTTAACTCTAATAGAAATGTCTGAATAAGATATGTGGGTGCAACCTGAAGGTAGGCTGTTTTTGTGCTTGGATAGGAAAGCCGGCTAATGCAAACTTTAAAAAGATGATATGCTTTAAACATAATGCGAATAGCTACAAATGAGTACACTTTATATTCTGGGTGTTCAAATCAGCAGCCGTTTTTTCAAGTGAATCATATTGGAATTTTATCAAACATTTAGTCTGATAACATTCAAATAATTATGAGAGCAGAATTCGCTAATTTTACTGTTTAAAAAAAAATAGTTGATTTGGGTAATAACCATTACGGTATCAAGGTTCAGTTACTGTTCATTGGTTATAGTGTTTTCATATGGGAGATGGAAATGGAATTTTTTCCTTAATGGTGGCAGATGTTGGAATCTAATTTTATTCCACGGCAAACCCCCGGAGAGCTCTGAGACTTAAGGTGTATGTCCAGCAAGGGGACATCAGTAGCGCTGTAGGCCTTGCCTTGTACATCGACTTGTTACATTGATTTTCATGTTTGCAGGGGTGGAGTTTGCAGGTACAGGAGCACAGTAAGAGTGAAGGGCTTTCACAGAGCGACACTGCATCGCCACTTGTGTTTAGAAAATGATTTCTTTCCCGTGCTTTATTGAACAGGGTATTTCTTTCAGGTAAAGCAACTAGATGATGAAAATTCCCTTTGACTGTACATGCTTTCAAGATAATCTTCTGCAGTCTCT